ACTTATTTATTTATTTACTTATTTCCAAGTTGAACAATTTTAGGGGCGATTTCAAGCAACGCGAACAGACTTATTGCAAGCAAATTTGCAATGTTGCTGCAATATTGCTGCCCACAGCACACTTCTCCGAGTAATATGCTAAGGATGTTCTCGAAAATCCTCTGGATATCTTTAGGACATATTTTGCAGAGAATTGCGTTGTGTGGATGGATCTGTGCTGTATGGGGCTTCCACAGTCCGTCAATCGGGGGCCTCTAAAGACCAGAGATCGCGATGACAATCGAACCGCTGGTCCCGCGGCCGATTCGATCGGTGTCGCGCGGTCGGTTAGGAAAGAAAAATTGGAATGATAAGATCCTAAAGGGGGAGAGCGAAAAAAAAGAGGGATAGAGGGGAAATTCGTGCCGGGTCCTTATAACCGTGAGAGATCTCGTGTGGAATGGCGATGAGCGTATGTACAAATGTATTTACAATTTCCCTTCGCGGAAGAGAAGGGTAAAAAAATCGGCGCTTGGACTCGCTCTTTTTTTTTTTTTTTTTTTGATCAAAATGTCTCTTTGATCAAAATATATTCTCGTCCTCGCATGTAGGTGCGTTCCTCGAACGTGGTCTGCCGGGTAGTTTTCTCTTCCGGGCGATGATCGATACCTCCCGTGACTGCCCAGATCGAGGGTAGATCGGCGGACGAACGGTCCTTTTTGAAGAGCAGAGCGATCCATCTAGTCCACGAGGAGGGTGGCCTCAATACGACCTGTACCCTAGTGGGTCCGACCAACAGGTCACCGATCGGCGACCGTCGCCGTTACGACGGACGTCGTAGTGGTCGTCGTGGCGGCCGACGTGATGGTGTTCAGCAGGGGTTGCCTCGAGGACGACTGCGTCGTCGACTCTGTCGCCGTCGCCGTCGTCGTCGTCGTCATCGTCATCGTCTTCGCGTCTTGATGCGCCGCATTCGTCTCCTCCAGAGCGGTCTGCAGGTCGCAGATGTACTCGATCACCCTCTGGATCACCTCGAGCTTCGACAGCTTCCGCTTGCGCGGCATATCCGGCACGAGGGAGCGCAATTTGGTGAGGTAAGCGGCGACCTCCTCGGCCTCGAGGTCGCGTCTGGTGCCACCGATCCCCAAGCCGTTGTGCAGCACGCCGCGATGGTTGGGCGGCACTCTGCCGCTCACCGGGCTCACCACCATCGCCTTCATGCAGGTAGCGGCGGCGATCAGAGAATTACACGGCCGGAATCGATCGATCCGGCGCTCGGCTCTTTCCTCTCGACCCTCGTTCGCGAACACACTGCCGCTGCTGGGTCTGGGTGATCGTTCTCGACGACAGCGCGTCACCGCACACACACACACATACACACCACCCACCGCGCGTGTGCCTATCGATCGCCGGAAAAGAGCTGTGCGTCGAACACCAAAGGCGTTAATGCAGCACGTGAAGAGCGAAGAGAGCGGACTCTGCCTGTTTACTTTGCCGTTGCTTTGCGTCTCCGTGGAGTGACCGTTCTCTTTCTCTCTCTTTCTCTCGTTGATCGATCACGATCAGGTGTGAAACCACGTGCAGGATCACGCACTGGTACTAGTTTAACCGACCAGCCACATCATCCTCGACAGCTACGCGCCAAGTATATGATGACGAACTGATGCGATCGAGCGTATACTGTATAGTGAAGCTGAACGCACAGCCGGCGGAGTACTGTACACGAATCGTTTGACAGATCGGAGCCGACTGGCCTCCGCCCCTCACCTGCGTCTTTTTATAGCCTTGCCCCACCCGGCTCCCCCGCGCATACCCTCCAGACGCTTCCAGCATTTGTACGGCGCAATCGCTGCCCGAGTGGAGTAGCGGTGGCTTCGAGCCTCACGCGATCTCTCCTTCTTGTTGACCGACTGGCTACGTATTATGGAACAAGTCGGAATGGATTCCAATGAGAATTGTCATTTTCTCTACAAAAAAAAAAAATTTAGAGAATTGTTGAATAACTCCTATCAGAATCCATTCGATCTGAATAATTCTACAGTACGTACTCCGATCGGAATTTTCCAATTTTTCCCAATTTTTTTACGCGACTTGCAGAGAGTACAACTTGCGTTTTATGAAAATCTCTCTATCGCAAATTCGATGGGAAAGAATTATTTAATTTTTATGTAGAAAAAGAAAGAATCGAAAAACACGAGAAACTCGAAATAATTTAGATACACTGAAAGTATAACGATTTAAGACAATTAAAAGAGTGCCCGAAAACTATCGAGTCGATTGTCATATAAATTTGCAATCATATATTGCAAGTGATTTATAAAATTGGCGAACCTTTCGCAAATCTATTAAAAACCGCTTTTTATAACTACAAAATTCTTAATAATAAGAAACTCTTACTATATTGTTTCGCATAAAAAATATGTGACTAAATTAAAACCGATTTAATTATCTGATTAATAAAAAGTAAAAAGTAAAATAGCTAAATAATAATTACTATACTAATAACTTATTAATTATAATTGCTAATCGCCGCTAATTAAGCGCTTATTAATAATTACTACTTAATTTATTTAAAAGTAATTAGTTGAACAATTAATCATTACTAATTTTATAGTTAAGTAATTATTAGTAACTAAGTAACTAATAGTACTACTTATTTTTTTACTACCAGGCTGATGAAAACAACCAAGATCGACGCGTTTAGAAATACACATAACGGATGAGGGGATCATCGGATTTCGCGTCGGAAAATCGCACGTGAGGTCCGATTCGAAGCTATCAGTAGTCGGGGGTGTTTGACGACTATGCGACTGGCGGCGTCGGTGGAACACGAGGGGAGTGTAAAAGGGAGGCGGGAAAGGGGAGCGCTACCATTGTTGAACGTCCGGCGGCGCCAGCCACTAGCCATCACGGCTACCACTACCACGTAAGCACCATCATCACCAATACTGTAACAGGCGGTCGACCAACCACCACTATCTCTGGGCCTCTATATGTATTCGACTTGCACGGTGATGGTCACTCGCTAACCTGTGCACCATGATTCCGGCCGTGCGATTTTCTCGCGGCGGCGAACGCTGCGCGAACAAATTTGCGCGCTCGTATTCCGATTATTTACGTTGAAATACATTACGCGTTACGTAAATGCCTCGCGTCATGGACGCAACTTTATAGATATTGCATATATACATAGACGTTCTTATTGTAGAGAGCAATAAAATAGTTCGGACAATTCTGGAATTGTAATATCTACAATTATTTTGGTAAACCATGTGAAAAACAGAGGAGATATAAAAATATCAAAATTATAGGTAATTTGACAACGAATATGTTAATTTGAAGATGTATGACAAATTGATTCTAATTGATTACGTTTAATTGAACAAGAGAAATTCTATATTTGCTCAAAATAAATTTTAGTGCACGGTTTGCAGAATCAGATAAGTTATGTATAAATTCATACAGAAATATTTAAGCACTGAGATTCACTTTGATCGAATAAGGGATTTATTTATTTTATTTAATTATATTTATTCTCATCGATATTGAAATTCGTATCATAATTGTCTAATTGACTAATTCAACTGAAATTATTCTTCTTTAACCCCGCAGAAATATCATATATACGACTTTATTCGAACTGCAATTTGACAAGAGTTATTTCGAGCGACTTAATCCCTTCGGATCGAATATTTTGCTCGAAGCGGCAGCGTCGTGATTATATACTCGAAGCATCCATTTTAAAAAGAGCTTTATTCATAAATACGCCTTTTTTGTCAAAAGCCCACTTCGACATTACTGTGACAACTTCCACGAGCTAAGTCCATGGCATATACAAAAACGTAAGGCAAAATAAGGGAGCGTTTATATTGACTGTATGTCGTATGCCGTAATCTGAAAAAGAATTGACTAATCACAGTTAAGTATTCCCTTCTGATTCGATTCGACGGTAAGAAGGGAAATACTCGAAGATGATTAGTCAATTTTTATAGATTACACGACATACGGTTACGGCCAATATAAACGCTCTCTAAAGCCGAAATCAGACTACGCGTTGAAGATTCAAATTTGACCAATCAAAACAGTAGAAGCTAAAATTCCTTTGTCCTCAGTGGTCAAACTTTAATCTTCAATCTTCAATCTTTAATGCGTAGTCTGATTCTTAAGACGTAAAGCAGTAAGGAAATGGTAATATTGAATTTGCTACTGGTCTCTACCGTGATTGGCCAATTTGCTTACTGCTTACGTGTTACTGCCTTACGTTTTTGTATGTTCCATAGGCTTTTAATTCCACGCATTCGTTCGGCTTTACTTGGAGCCGCCACGCAAATATCGTCCCTCGGACAGCTCAATCTTCCCCAGCGAATATATCCCGCTCGAGGCGATGGCGTCGTCGCGATTACATCGTACTTTGTGTTTTCCGTCTTGCTCTTCCCGGCTCTCACGTGCTCGCACGTACGCGCTTCGTGACTCCGTAGCGGAGTCTCGTTACCGGTTGTTGAAGACAAGAATCCGCCCGATGTCCGGCGCTACGAACGAGTTGAATAAAAACGGAGAGAAAGAGAGAGAGAGGTGGCTGCGCCTGCCGCTCGATTATAGGAGAAAAGAGAACGAGAGAGAGAGAGAGAGAGAGGGGAGAAAAAGCGAGCCGACCGGACTTAGCGGCGACACGCTTCGTAGAATTTCCAGGCGACGTCGATATGCGCGCTCCGGGACTCGTCCGAGGAAGCCGCGGTCTATGGAGACAATTGAGGGCAGCGGGGTGGATACGCGGAATCATTGACAACTACTCGCGATCTGCTACAGAGCTGCATCAAGAGCTCTGTCTTTCTTATCTTTCTCCAGAAAGATTCCCAGACCGCGCGCGAGTCATCGATATGTGAACTTAATGGTAAATCATCAACCTCTTTACATTAATCCTCCGGAAGTCAAAATCTAACACGATCACTGACATTGAGTCTGTAAGATTCATTTAATTTAATACAAATAATAATCAACTGGATTAAAATAAACTAAAATAGTAATATTCGTAGCGTTTCAAGAATATAAATCCAATACAATTAAAATACCTACATAAGCCTCTGTGGTTATTGGCGCGTAAATTATATATTCTTTCGCGATAAGACACAATTTGCAACGAAATAAGTTTGTACTTGATTTCCGCACTGAAGAAGATTCCAGTATAGAGTCGAGAGAAACGTTTACGTTAAATTTAACTACGTTTGGTAGGTACATCCCAATTAGTTGCGAATTGTATCTTATCGCGTTTGAATACATAATTTACGTACTAATAATCGTGGAAGATTATATAGGTATTTTAATTGTATTGGAAATATTCTTGGAGTGTGTGTTGTCGCAAAATATTATTTTATTTTATTTTAATTCATTCAATTTATGTTAATCAAAAGACACTAATTAATTTCGAAGAACGGAAATGACAATTTGTTTAAAAAAGAATTGAATATTAAGTATTTTTAATAACAATGTTCCAAATTGTTGCAGATATAACATAAAGAAGATTGAAATTTCCAACAAAAAGATTTATAATTGACCCAACATCAACTTTAAAAAGTCAAAACAATAATCTCCATCCCAAAATAATTTGTCAGTTATCGAGCCTTTTAAGAAGAACATATTTCTGTACCTAAAAGTCTAATATTAAATCAGAAATTATCATTTTGCGTAATAATTTACAGTTAAGAGGACACACTTCATTAACTTTGGTTGATATCTGTTTATTCGTGATACTTTCAACCTGTGCGAATCTCTTCCAAACGATACCGATATCGAAATAATTGGACATATCCGTTAAAGTAATTATAAAATTTTATCCCTATATATATATACTGCGTAATCCAGTAGATATTAAACAAATTCAAAGAAAATCCATCCAAAATCGGATAAAGCAAACTGTCGCCGACAATAAAAATCATCCCCTTTTATTTAACCGTGAAATAAATAACGTTGATATTTACCAATATAGTTTGCTAACGCTTTTTTTTTCCAACAGTGGTCAATGCGTTTCTTCTTCGCGATAAGCGAAGAAAAAAAAACGGCGAGCACGAGCTTATTACTATCAGTGAGCAAAATATGCGTCAACTTATTTGTCCAATACCGCGTGCAACTCCGGAGAATAGTGGTAAAAATACGCAACGCATTTCTTCGCGGTATCTTGTACGGTTCGCTTAATATGTTTTCGCGTCGACAATGCCGATAAGGATAAAAAGAGACGAGTCACACCTATATTGCTGGCGCGCAAAAAGACGGTCGCTCATGGACATTATCGCGACGATATCGTTATTTAGAACAGCAACGACAATTTCGCGGCGTGGTTATTGACGAGAAGAGATCTCTCCTCTCTTCACTTTTTTTTCTTTCTCTCTATCTATTATCTCAGAGGAGAAGCTCGGGAGGAATAATCCCGTGGAAAATTACAGGGAATATAACCGAACGCGCGAGACGCCCGTGAGACTCGGCGGGCAAACACTTGTGCGGTTACATACCTGAGCAACCGGATCTCATTGACTCCTTGACCCCGGTGTTTAAGAAACGTAGTTCCCTTGACCCGAGAATAAATAAACCGAGGAAACGCCGCCAACGGGCACGCTATCGTCTGTACGCGAGAGAATTTACTGATACTTTTCATTGGGATTCTCGCGGCCCCGAGAATCTCATCCGACGCGACGTTACGGCTTTGGCGCCGCATCACCAACGAGACCGCTCAATTAATACCGGAAACGTAAGGAAACCCGCTAACGTGACGCAAATGGTCGCGAGGTAAAATTAGTCTGTCGGCATTACACGTCGAAATTTCTGCATATTTTGTTCGCGGAGAGACTCGAGTCACGTATTTATATTTAAAAAAAGAAGTTTACGACAACTATAATGCGATAGCTCTGAAAA